CCCCCGTCTGCTCCTCTCCTTGAAAAGCAAAAGAAAAACTCCCTCACTGGTACACAAGAGAGAATCAAGATATTTAGGCATTTGTACTTAGTGGCATGTTAATGCTCAAAGCTCTCACCATTGCTATTGTACTCTTTAAAAATCCATAAGGAGCTTATATAATCTTACATAAGTACCCACATGAACTACTTAATCATCTGTTTAAACAAATTTTAGCAATACTTTAATCATGTTTCATATCACCTGTTCATAAACTTGTTCGTAAGCATTACATCTTTGGAAGTCTTTTTTTGTTTGTTTTGTTCTTTTCTTACATACTGAAAACTTTTTAACACAATGCAGCATTGCTGTGGCAACAATACAGCTGAGTCTTAACATAAATGTCTTTACTAAGAAGCAGCCTCCTGCATATCCACCGGGTCCAAATTTAAGAATGAATACGTTCTTATCCCCTCATGTGACTATTTCATAACTGGGTAATTCTGTTTCTTATCTGCTAAAAAACACATGGTATACATTTAGTGCATTTTATTTTTACCCTTAACATGAATCTTTTTTTCTGAGAATATAATCAGAAGTGGAAAGCTTGATGTTTATAAAAGAGAAAACTATTTTCCAGGACCCTGGTGTCATTACTTTCACCAAAGTGAAAGTCTGCATGAATATGTTCAGAATCTAACATTCATTGTTCTATTTTATTGTAATTGAAGTAATTAATAAATATATATATAATATATTGAATTTATTTGTACATATGCAAAATGTGGTATTTATGTATGAGATTGTGCTTTATTCCTATTATCCCCAACTCTTTGATGAGTAAAATATTAAATGTTATACAAAGGTTGATTTTACAGAAAGATAATTATGAAAATAAAATCTGAAAATATATAAATGTAGCAACTCTTCTAAGTATTTTGCTGTGCTTTGTTGATTGTTATACCTGAACCTTAAAACCAAAATCCAGAACTCTCACAATGACACCCTTTTATCAGGTTTCTGAAGCAATACATCTTTATGGCCTGGGACTCCCATTTTTCTCCCTCAGGGAGTGGTTGGTGTATTTTCACCTTAACCTTTTGTTTAGCAGTACAACACATTGCACTATGCTAGCAGGACTCTTTTTATAGGTACACATTGTCCTAATTATTCATATAATCCTACTTATTAGGGTCCTTCACCTACAACTCATAGTAACTCTGAATGGCAAGTTGGAACCTTGCCCTATCCTCCATCTGTTCTTATAAACTCCTCCATGTACAAGCACATTATTATAGTTACTGTATCACTCCATCTTTGTTGAAGGGTTAAGGTTTTTTCAAACGCTAGTGTCTAATTTTCACCTGAAAGATGAGGACTGTCAGCTCCACTTTTTCCTCTTTTTATCTTTCATGGAATGTAAAGTGATAATATTTTTAATTTCATTGAATCTACAATGATTATATTAAAGTGGGTTTTGGACATAATGGGCTGTGGGATATCTCTCAGAATATTTTGTGTTGAAAGTGTGCTCCGTGGTCACTGGATTTGTAATATGAGAGACACGATGGCTGAAAGATAAATTACCATTCTCCCCTTAACCAATAGATGACAGTTGGTTTTGGTTTTTGTTGTTAGGTGCTTTCAAGTTGAGTACAACTCATAATGACCTTATAAACAGCCAACCTGATCCCTGTCTTATCCTTTGCCATCCTTACCCTGAAACACTTGAGTCCATTGCTGCAGTTACTGTGTCAGTCTATCTCATTGGGGGTTTTCCTCTCCTTTGCTGACCCCCTATCACTCCAAGCATGATGTCCCTCTCCAATGATTTTTCTCACCTTGCTATATGTCTGAAGTGTGAAAGACAAAGCTTCGCCGCCATCCTTGCCTCCAGAGCACTCCAGTTGCACCCTCTCTAAGACATATCTGTTTGTTCTCTTGGCAGTCCATGGGATATTAAGTACTCTTCTCCAGCACCACAACTCAAAGACATCAATTTTTCTGTCATCCTTATTCATTGTCCAGCTCTTTGATGTGTAGCAGGTGAGAAGGTCAGTGCCTGAATTAGGTACACCTAAGTCTTCAAACTGGCATCACTGCTCTTTAGCACTCTGGCGAGGTCCCTGACAGCCGAATTGCCCAATGCAATGCATCTTCTTACTTCTTCCTAACTGCTAGAACCAAGCAAGGGTGTAGATTACTGATCCAAAGAAGCTGAAATCATTGACAGCATCAATTTTTTCTCTATCAATCATAATATTGACTGTTGGCTCTATAATGAGGACCTTTGTTTTCTTGATGTTGAGTTGCAGTCCATACTTAAGCCTTCAGTCTTTGATCACTTTCGGCAAGCAAGATTGTGCCATCTGCATACCAAAGGCATTAATAGGTCTGAGTATACTTATTACATTGTTTACAATAACAAAGAAATGGGGAGAAACCCAAGTGTTCAGCAATGGTTATCTATTGGTAAGCAAACTGGTGCATGTTTATATGGTCTATACTGAAATACTATGCAACACTAAAGATCAATGATAGATTCATGAAACACTTCATAACATGGGAATCTAGAGTATATTAAATCCTATACATACGGCATTCTAGTGGGTGCATTAAGGTTTCCTAGGCTGCGTCATCTTTCTTCTGAGGAGCGACTGGGGAATTTGAACTGCCAGAAACATGAAGTCTTTTGCTTATAGTAGCTCCATATGACCAACTATACCACCAGGGCTCCTTTTGGAGGTCATTAATGCTAAGTTATAAGTGGGTGGTTCATGAATCTTCTTCGAATCCTGACTCCACATTCTCCTTCACAGGGTCTAAATTCTTGAATAATTTGTTCAACATACAGATTGAATAGGCATGGAGAATAAAATACAATGCTGATGCACCCTTTCCTAATATTAAACCATGTAGTAGTATTCCTTTGCTCTGTCTCAGTATGGGTTTTACATGAGCACAATTAAGTGTTCTGTGATTCTTATTCTTCTCAATGAAATAATTTGTTATGATCCATACAGTCAAATGCCTTTGTATAATAAATAAAGCACAAATTCTTCTGGTATTCTTTTCTTTGAGCCAGGATCAATCTGACATTAGCACTTGTGGTGTTAGCCTATAGTTGGCTCTTTTTAGCCGTTACTTTAGCCCACTCTGGTCTCCAGCTACCTTAACTGCAGATGCATGGTCTTTCAAATCATCAAGAGATGATGTGTTAGAATAAGAGAAAAAATGTTTCCAACATTGATTAGCTACTCTGTGATGGGGGAGACTGGAGCAAGACCTTGGTGAGAGCAAGACCTTGATGTTGGTGGTGGAGAAACTATGGCAAGGTGTGACCTGAGGCTTCTTGCATTCATGCTGTCCACAGTTAAAGTTTTTTCTGTTTTTGCTAGATGCTTAAAGGAGAAGCTGACTTATAACTGCTCTGAGGGAAACCTTGCTGAATGACTGAGAAAACAAAAGGCTGAACTGAAACCAGAGCCTGGTCTAATTGAGAA